GATTTTTAAAGCAAGGGAGAGAAAGAGAGAGAGAGAGACAGATTGATTTGTTATTCCACTTACTTATGCATTCTTTTTTTTAAAAATATATTTTATTGATTTTTTACAGAGAGGAAGAGAGAGGGATAGAGAGTCAGAAACATCGTTGAGAGAGAAACATCAATCAGCTGCCTCTTGCACACTCCCTACTGGGGACGTGCCCGCAACCAAGGCACATGCCCCCGGCCAGAATCGAACCTGGGACCTTTCAGTCCGCAGGCTGACGCTCTATCCACTGAGCCAAACCGGTTAGGGCACTTATGCTTTCTTTGGTTGATTCTTATATATGCCCTGATTGGAGATCAAACTGTTTTAAGCTTTAGGAATGGCACCAAGTGTTAGACTGGTGGGGTCACACTGGACTTGGGTTCACCAACTTCAGTACTAGGAAAGAATTCAGAGCCAAGACCCAAACTATAATAGAATATTTATTTGATTAACCACAGAGGTAGAAAAAGTAATTCCTAGAAGACATGAGCTTAACAAACAAGTTATAGTGGTAAAGAAACATAAAGGAAGGACTCTTGGAGTTAGGGAGTGAGGAAGCTAATGGTAAAGTGCCTGCGAGTGGGGAGAAGAAAGAGGAAGGGAATGGCCCTGGGTCCAAGGTTCTAAGGGTTTTAAGGTGGAGATTTTAGGGCAGGTCTCAAGATAACATTTCAATGGAATATTCAGTAACTTTCCAAGTGTGTCAATTTAGGGTCTAGGTCTCCACTGATGGATTCATGGTCACCAAGGAAGGGGGTTCTTATTCAATGTAGCTGGTCCTGAGGTCAGCTGTGGCTGGTTTTGTTGCTCTTCTGGGCCTAGACCTGAAGTACAACTAAGTCTAAACATTATTTCTAGGGAGGAACGGTCGGGGATGGGGGGGAGGGGGGTCCAAACCCCATGACCATCGATATGCTAGGGGAGGAAAGATCACCCTGGAGACAAGGTTCCACCCCTCATTTTGTCCTTTTTTGGGGGGGTAACTGACAGTCCTATTTTATTTTATCTTTAAATTTTTTTTTCATTGATTTCAGAGAGGAAGGGAGATGGAGAGAGAGATAGAAACATCAATGATGAGAATCATTGATTGGCTGCCTTCTGCACACTCCCACTGGGGACTGAACCCGCAACCCTGGCATGTGTCCTTGACCTATATCAAACCCGAGACCCTTCAGTCCGCAGACCAATGCTCTATCCACTGAGCCAAACCAGCTAGGGCTACATTTTGTCCTTTGCTAGGCTCCTAAGGCTTTCCATCCTGATGACCTTCAGTACCTAGGTCCTAGCCCATCATCCTTGCCCTGCTCATGTCTGACTGCCTACCACAGGCCCCACAATCTTGGCATATCAGGACACCGCTCTAACCAACTGAGCTACCCGCCAGGGTGAGATTTGGCTTGTTAAAAAATAAAATATATCAAACAAAATTCAACAGAGAACAAGTTGATGGTTGCCAGATGGAAGGAGGCAGTGAGGGGATGGGTGAAAAAGGTGAAGGGATTAAGAAGTACAAATTGGTAGTTACAAAATAGTCATGGGGATGTGAAATACAGCATAGGGCCTGTAGTCAATAAGGGAGTTACTATGTATGGGGTCAGGTGGGTAGGAGATTTATCAGGGGAAGAGGGGGTCACTTTGTAAAGGATATGACTGTAAATCACTATGCTGTACAACTGAAACTGAAACAAAATATCAAATGTAAACTGTAATTGAAAAATAAATTTCAACAAAATTGTATCACTTGTGCCAAAACCCAAAATACCAAATCCAGATTTAAAACCTTACCTAATGCTGTCTCAACCTCTACCAGAAACATAATCAACATTTCTGGAATTTTTCTGATCAGTATCAATGAAATAATCTGTCAAGTGGGCCCTCTCCAAACACCCTACCCCCACTTCCAAAGAAGAGGGGATCTGCCTGATAAAAACCCCTGGTCTGCCTTGCCCACTTCCCTTTCTAAAAAAACCCCTCCATTTTGTACCTACCCCTCGGACCTCCCTACTAATTGCTAGATGGGGCAATTAATTGTTTAATAAAGCCAATTTAACCTGGCTGGTGTGGCTCAGTGGTTGTGCTTCAGTTTATGAACCAGGTCACGATTCAATTCCCAGTCAGGGCACATGCCCCCGCCTCCCCCAACCCGGCGTGCAGGATGTTTCTCATCATTGATGTTTCTCTCTCTCTCTCTGAAATCTGTAAAAACTTTTTTTTAAAAAGCCAATTTGATTTTCAAATTTACTTAGCTGAATTTTTAAAAACTCTTCACATTTCTTATAGAGATAAAACAATATAACCACACAAGTTTACCTACAGGTAACACTAATTTTTAAATTGCATAACACAATCTGTGTTCTCCCTAGTTCCGAGAGATGTGGCCACTCCTCGTGCTATAGTCATTTGTCACAGTACCCTGAGGCTTTAGTTACAGAGCTGGCATCCGGGCTGATTAATATTCTCCACGAGGGCTGAGGAAGTTCTTTCCAAAGTTGGACACACGCCTCTAAACTGATCTAGGTGATGTTTAAAATAAAACAACGGGAAAGCAAGAACGAAGGGGTCTTAGGGCACTTCCTTGGCCTGCTCCATTCACGCGAACCCCGCGGTACTACACCTCCTTCCTGGGGTCATTTCTAACGAGTCCAGGGTGCGGGCCACCCCCCAGGACCCGGGAGAGCAACCTCTGGGTGGGTCTCCTTGGCTCCACCCTCTTCACCTAGCACCGCCCCCCACCCCGACCACGCCTCCCCTGTGAGTCCCAGGAGTCCCGCCCCGCAGCCACCAGTCTCAGCGACGCCATACTCGGCGCGCTGACGTCTGACGCTCCAGGTACTTT